AGATGGGGGGGGGAGAGAGAAAGAAAGAGAGAGAGAGAGAGAGAAAGCAAGCAAATAGATGGGGAGAGGGAGAGGTGGGAAGAAAACAACTTTAAATGCATCCTCCAAGGCCCCCCCCCAGCTTGGCTTGGAGAAGGGATTTAAAGAGACAAATGCCTTCTTAAAGCTGGCCAGTGGGAGGGGGCTTTGAAAATGCATTTAAAGTTAAAGTTGCTTTCTTTCTCTTCTCCCCCCACCTCAAGCCTACCCAGGAAGGGTAACACTGGCTGGGGAAGGGAGACTGATTGCTTTCCCAGCCGCTCTGCCAGGAGCTGCACAGTATGTCTGAAAGAGCTGCATGTGGCTCCCAAGCCGCAGTTTGGCCACCCCTGTTCTATAAGTTACTTTATAGAAATTTCAGTTATTGTTTTAAAACCCCAGCTATGGATAGACCAACCCCATTTTAGGTATTACATTCCAGCATTATGATTCTTTACAGTGTTAATTTGTTTTCCTCATCTTTCCCTGGGTTCTATAAGTTACTTTATAGAAATTTCAGTTATTGTTTTAAAACCCCAGCTATGGATAGACCAACCCCATATTAGGTATTACATTCCAGCATTATGATTCTTTACAGTGTTAATTTGTTTTCCTCATCTTTCCCTGGACTTCATAGTCTTTTAAAGAGAACCTCAGGGCCATTTCTCGTATTATATTTTTTTTTCCTCCTGCTTTTTTTTACTGTGCAAGAGAAGGATGCAGGGTATATTTAAAGAATGCATGTCAAGTTATGGGTCCAGTGACCACTCTTTGTGCATATTCAGTATATCTTGTGACCTGACCTGAAGCATGTACAAAGTGTACACATGTCAATTTTGTTTGTATGATTCATTACCTTGGCAAATGCTGGATTGCTGATGGTGTGTGGAGAGCCTATACACACAGACTTTGTTTGACTGTACACTCTGTCTACAACTTATACTGAACATGCTCAGGTGGGAGTGTAGTCCCACTGCCCCCCCCATACACATTCACTCTACCCCCAGTAGAACTTGTGAACAAACCAGGACTTTCTGCAGAATCTCACTTAAGTAAACTTTCTGACATTGTGAACACAAGTGCTGTAACAGTTTCTGGTTGCTTCCCTTCATGCATTTGTAAATGATATGGGAAACATAGCATGGCAAACTTCTCTCAAAGTAATGGGATTAAGGATACATCAGTAAAAAATATAGATTGTAATTTTTTCCACTTCTGTGGGAAGCATGTATTAAATAATCCTATTTCAACAATCCAAAATTATATTTCTTTTTTGCTGTGGGAATCTTCCCAGCCTACTGATTGAATTTGTGTAGGGGAGTTGTGATGGGGGGGATTAATTTCCAGCAACTAACATCATGGATACCTATGCCTTTGCTATAATTTTATTTATGTATTTATTTATTTATTATTAAATTTGATTTATAGCCCACCCTCCCCTGCAGGAAGGGCTCAGGGCAGGAAACAACATTTTCAACAACACAATTTACAAGCAGTTAAAACTAATAAATCAGAATTTAAAATAGCTTTTAAAAGTTAATGAGTTATTACAGATGGCACGTAAAATGACATAAATTAATGTCCTTTCCCCATAGGGGGAAAAGGAGGAAGGAGCCAGGCTGGAGGGAAACCTGTTGCTGTCCTCAACCAAAAGACATCTGTGTCTTGCAAGCCCTGCGGAACTGCATTAGGTCCCACAGGGCTCGGATGTCATTTGGCAGAGAGTTCCACCAGATCGGTGATAGGGTCAAAGGCCCTGGCCCTAGTTGAGGACAGCTGGATGATCTTCGGGCCAGGGATCACAAGTAAGTTCTTCTGTCCTGAGGGTAATGCTCTTTGGCGGATATACCAAGAGAGGTGGTCCCGCAGATACATTGGTCCCAGACTGTTTAGGGCCTTGAAGGTCAGTACCAGAACCTTTAATCTGATCTGGTATTCCACCTGGAGCCAGTGCAGCTGGTGAAGCACTGGTTGGATATGTGCTGACAGTGGAGTTCCAGTCAGAACGCATGCCGTTGTATTCTGGACCAGTTGTAGTTTCCGGTTCAGTCTCAAGGATGGCCCTGCGTAGAATGAGTTACAGTAGTCTAGCCTGGTGGTGACCATTGCATTGACCACTGTAGCTAGGTCGGGGCAAGACAGGTAGGGAACCAGCTCCCTAACCTGGCGAAGTTGAAAAAAACCCCTCCAGTCTGGCAACGTTTGTGATCTGGGCCTCCATAGATAAGGCAATGCAAACAGTTTATTTCTTCTAATAAGGCAGTACTATTGCTGTGTGGGTTATGCTGTCTTTTTCTTTTTTGTCCAAGATAACCTTTGTAGATGTACAGCAAGCATAAAAGAACACATAGTGTTGTTCAGTTGCGCTGACTCTGCAGTGTTGACAGCTATGAAGCTTTTTAACTTTTACAGGCAAGCTAAGCAGATGGGCTTGAGATAATGCTCATAAATTATAGTTTGACTCCATTTGGGACTCTAGAGGATTTAATTAGGGTGCAGTACCACAGGAATAAAAGCAGATGACTGGATGCTAGAAAGCATTTTTTTAAATTTATGACACTACCGCTGACTCAGGATGAATGGCTCTGCCATTATTTGCTTTTGTGTTTGTTGCTGGTTGGGGGAAGAGGCTTGCCTGCATACCCAGAGGAGGATTAATTCCAGTTGGGAAGTTTTTATCACAGTAGTTCTTGCTGTCAAAGAGACAAGCCACTGTTTAGTTTAAAAAGCAGCTTGTCTCTTCAGCAGTGGAAACGGCTGTGATTTAAAC